CTTTTTCCTTTTCTCATTTTTCTTATATAAAAAAATTAAATTTTTTTTTTAAATAATTATTAATTAGCGATGTTTTTTCGTGAAAAAAAAAATTTATTTGCCTGACATTTTAGTTGTAATTTTTTTTAAATTTTTTAATTAATTAAAAATCAGCAAAAAAAATTTTTTTTTTCTTTGCCCCTCGCTTTTTTTTTTTAAACCCAATAATCTCTGACTTTTTTGTCAGAATAACATGGAAAGCAAGGGGGGGGGTAACAAAAAAAAAAAAAAAATGAAAGGGAAAAAGAGAGGAAAAAAAAAAAGGAAAAAAGATAAAACGATGAAAAGTTAGTTTTTTTGTACGAGGAGGAGGAGCAAAAGAATAAATTTATTATTATGCAGAGAGTGAAATGGAAATTCTTTAATTAATTTTGTGAGTTTTTACATTTTATATAACATAAATGAATCTTGGTCCCCCTCTTCAGGGGCGTATTAAGTTTGTTGTAAAAAAAAAAATAAAATAAAAAAAAATAAAATGAAAAAAAAAAAAAAATGAACGGAGGATAAGAGTCGTTGAAATATTTTTAATTCCAAAAATAAAAAAAAAAACGTTGTTGCAAATGAATCCTTAAAAACTTATTAAAACCATTTATTATTATTATTATTATGTAAATCCTTTTAATTTATTATGATTAAAAGGTTTGTTTTGACTAAATAGGTTGTTTAAAAAAAAAAAAAATTATATTTTCCTATTTTTATTGAATAGAAATGTTTTTTTTTTTTTTAATCGACAACGACGACATCCTTAGGAGAAATTGTAAAACTATTTTTAAAGTTCCGGGTCAATGACCTTGAAAGTAAACAAAAACCTTAAATAATTTCTTCCTTATAAATATACACATACATATAATTATTTTTCCAATTTTTTTTTTACCGTAATTATTATTATTATTATTATTATTACTTAAAATAAATTATCGAGGGAAAATTTTATTAATTTCGATCGATATAAAATATTTTATATAAAATTTTTCAACTTTTATAATAATATAAAACTAAAAAAAAAAAAAAA